ATCAATGGAAAGATCTGGTCTTTGTTTCTCAAATATCTAGCGAAAATGGACCTCATTCTAATGTTATCTAAATCTTCCGGTCAGATACAGTAGGTCGGAAGCCCAAATGTTTTGTGTTCCATTCAACAATTTGACCGTTCTAACCGGTCTGGCCGTGTTAATGGAAAGCGCCTTAAGTTTGCTTTCTCTTGTGTACGGTCAACAAGTTTTCCTTGACAAGTTTTGTTGCATGGAATGTTGTTGAACACTTGTCAAGTTTTCCTTGGCGGCCGTACACACGAACAAATTATCCTTGTCCAAAAACTGGCATGTCTAGCTGTGGAATAAGGCTCTTTGGCAAGGAAAAATTGCCCGTCTTTTAGGGTTACAAACGTGCGTTTTAATACATGAAATTCATTTCTTTTCAGGACCTGCTAAGATGTCGTGTTCTGACGTCTGGTATTGTCGAAACGAAATTTCAAGTCGATAAAGTTAATTTCCAGTACGTTTTATGTTAGATCTTTGAGACGTTTTGATAAGAATCTCGAACGAACGCACAGTTAGACAGACAGACAAAAATCCAAGCTGTTCACAATGACTAACAAAGCTGGGCTTTTCCAACCAAACAAAAACATAATATGTATTTCTAAAAGCCCGGTAGCCATATTTTGTCACCGTAACTGATTCGATTTCCGTTTCCTTTGCCAGTATGTTCGATGTAGGAGGGCAGAGGGACGAAAGGAGGAAGTGGATTCAATGTTTTAATGGTCAGTACTATTTCATGCTAAAGCATGGTTTCCATTTAGTAATATAGCTGTCGTGGACATATCAAGATGACCGATTAATAGAGTGTCGATATTTCTCATGCAGTAAAGACCGATTTACATACAGCAAACAAAAGACGAAATACAGCCAGATAATTTCACATCGTTGAAAAATGACTTTGTCACAACAGCTAGGACCAAATGGAAACTGCAATCCTGATAAAACGGCACACTTTACATCATTAGGGCTGAATTTGGCACCCACCGTAATAAAAAGCGTGCCAACGCCCCCTTACATGCCGCCAAATAACACCGTCCTTAACTATGCCCACCTTGTGTTAGACCCCGAAGTGCTGCATAAAATTCAATAAAGGGTCTGGACATTAAGTTGTGAATACAATGCTCATATATGTAATACGAAATCTGGCACGGAAAGTTGCTATTTTTACTAAAGGCCATGTTACACGGTGCAATTTTTCTTGCAACTTGCAATGCAATTCTACTCTTGAGAGATGTTAGTTAGTGAAATCAGTGAAGAATTTTCGATATGTTGAGAAAGCATCAGCGGAGTGTAATGAAGACTCGTATTTGGCAATTTTACATCTCTCAAGAGTAGAAATGCATTGCAAGTTGCAAGAAAAATTGCACCATGTAACATGGCCTTAAGTGTGCCGAGGATTTTTGACCAGAATTGTAGGCTTAATCTATGTTTTATGTGCCCCATTATCGCCTAATTCATATTTTCAGATAACTCGCATGCATAGTAATATAATGCAAGCGACGAAAATTGTTGCAAAAACCACCACAGAATACAATAAACCCATAACAAAACAAAAGAACTTGACGATGTTTTTGTTTTTCCCAGATGTCACGGCAATTATTTATGTGGTGGCGTGCAGTAGTTACAATCTCGTATTGAGGGAAGATCCAAGTCAGGTAGGAATGGCACAGAAAATTGAAATAAAAACAAACAAGTTTTCTATGAATAGTTCACATGTGGCAAATTGTACAGTCGAACCTGTATATTAAGAGATAACCCTCGGGGGTTTCGCAAGTTACCACTTAATACAGGGTGACCGCCCAATGCAGGTCCAAGTACCATGATTAAAAAGGGTGCAATTGATTCTTAATAAAAGAGAACTGAAAATGACAACAAATACAAAATGACAGAGCCGTGCTGAGTTTAGCTGCTGCAGCATGCTAAGTTTGGTTTGACTCAAGAAATCGATAACCCTTGATGTCCATTAATTTGTACAAAATGCACAAAACCATCACCGGATTCCATCACTTCTCTTATATACCGGTGGCCGTGTTATGTTTGGGACTGTGCGAAAGCATAGTCTATCAAGATATTATCGATAGTCTGGAAACTAAACAGAAGTGTTTGTTATATGTTAGATGAAACGTGTAACCACGATGAATAATATTTAATCAAGTTAAGACAAAGGATTTGTGCACGGTGAGCTTTGAAGTTTGCCTGGCTTATAGACCATATCTTGATAGACCTTGGGAAAGGTGATAGCCAAACAAATGAGAAATGCAGTATAATTTACTCGTTTCTTAATTCACTGTCGAAGATTTTTGAAGTTAATCACCATGGGCCGTAACTCTTAGTGAAACCTTGCAATAACCTGAGGTAGTACCATGCTTGTAAAGGTCAACAAATGAATATTTTTTATTTCGTAGAATCGATTAAAAGAATCGTTGGAACTGTTCAAAAGTATTTGGAATAACAGGTAGTTATACCATGATAAATTTTTAATAATAAAAAGCTGGATATTCAGGGGACCTGTTCCCTCGTGGAGTTGTTTCTGCTTGATATACGAAGCATCAAAAGTGCCCCGATGTTATGACGCCGGCGCCATGTATTTTTCCGTACCCGTTTTTTGGCTAATTGAATAGGAGACAACCAATCTCAATCGGAGTCAATCCAGAAATAGAAATATTTTCGTGTTTATCAATAACAAGCAATATGCATCAGACATGTCTTTTCCTTGGGATCGGTTGTTCGAAAATCAATAAGCTTAACCTTAGGCTACCCAAAATTCAAAGCAAACTTCCCAAGAGTTTGCTTGTGTGATGTTACTCTGAGTGTATATCCACACATAAGAATAAGATGCTTGTGTGATGTTACTCTTTGGATCAGTAGGAGTTTTCTTCCTTCACGTTTTGAAATAAACACGTGCAGAAGTACATTAACTAAAACAGCAGGTTTTAACCAAGGCCCTTGCAGTTTTGGTACAACAAGCACGAGTGAGTTTTCAAAGATCTCAAATAACGTCCGTCCTTAGGACCTGAACTAAACATCCGCCCTGACACAAACCTTGATCTGGTCGTTCTCCAACCAAAATATATTTGTAGTATCCAATCAAAATGTCCCAGGGTAAACTTCAATTTCACATAATACAACTTTTACAACCGCTAAATATGACATTAACCGTAGCAGTACCTATTTAACACTA